CAAAAAAGCTCCCCAAGCACATCCCACCCTCTCTTCCTAAAAGAGATGCTGCTTCCCGTTGCCCCTTGGAAGATTTGTAAGCCACAGACAACTCCATTTAATCCTTTTGGAAGGCAACATTTCCAGCAGATAGTTCAATGCACTAAAAAAAGTCACCAGTAACCACACTTTGAAACAGATTCAAGAAATTTGAGGGTTACAGGTAAAACTAACCAATCTACTTGAGAAGCAAGTTGGTTTTATAACAGAAAGTATAGTATCAGATTGGTGCTAGAGAAAGCTTGGTCTACTACTTCAGAAGTCCTGTGTTTAACTTCACCAGAGAGAAAGGCATTTGGTGTTCGCATGGCTGGAATGATGAAGGAAAGGTTTTTTCAAATGTACATCCCAAAGTCAAAAAAACGCAAGCAAGGTTGGGAATCTCATTTCTCAGCTGTAGGAATCTAATGCAACTGAGGGGTTTGATTTGTTATTGCTGTTTCTGTCTTCGCACCATTTAACTGCAACCTCAGCTTTCAGAAAACCAAGTGAATAAGGTGTTTGCACAGACGATGCTCCTCTGTCCAGCGCCCAGCTTTCAGCTTGCCCATATAGACTCGCTGTGCACTTCTATTAGCAAAGCCAGCCAGGTAATAATAGCGAATAAAAAGCCTATTCGACGAAGCACTGGCTCCTTCTCAAGTAAAGCAGAGTACCACTACAGCATGAATGACTCAATCATCTACTTGAGAGCTATTACTTGCAGCGATGAAGCAATGTTAATTGGATAATGGCCTGCTGCCAGCTAATATTGGCATGACCTACAATACCCCTGGCTGACAGCCGTGTCTCTCTATCACACCTTTTTTTGTAATCTGGATGGGAAGTGGAAACCATTAAAAAAGCCTCATAAGTGCCATTTAACTTCTTATCATGAATTAAAAGCTTAATTAAGTGCCTTGTTAAAGGAAGGAAGACCAGTTTTCGTGATTAAGTAAAACAAAACAACAGTTAGAGGTATGGAGTGAATGAGTAACTTTACAGCTTAAAACTCAGCTCTTGGAAAATATTAATTTTGGGTTGCATTTAACAGCAGCTGCTAGAGAAAAACTGCACAATTGCTGAAAAACACCCTGGGTGAAAAGCAGGCGGGGTTCTTGTTGTTTTACCAAAAACTGCAAATGAAGAGAAAAGCATAGAAGTTAAGAGCTAACGGGGTCCTTTTTTATTAGGTGTAGGCAGCTGACACACTCCATTCCTCTAACTCTGCTCTGAGGGCTCGTACTTCACACACCACGGCCACATCTGAGCCCTTGTTATTACGTGGCTGTTTTTCCAAGCGCTTATCTACACTCTAAAATACGTTGCTTTAACAAAAGGTGTAGTACAAAATCAAATTACCGAGGCTAGTACAAAAGGGTTTATGGAAACTCTTTAATCAGTGCAGAATTAGCTCTGGACTGACTTAGTTTTGATTAAGAAAAGGTTTGAATTGAGGCACATTAAGTCACGCTTGAACTGACCTGAAATGTCTAACACAAGGTTTTGCAGTGGTTTAAAACCCTGTAAGTTCAACTAGTCTCAATTCTGTGTGTGCACAATGTCTCCCTACTGAAATGACTGGCATATCATAAAGACTGCTCTCACTTGTAATTGGATACAAACAAGAAATAATGTAAAAAACATCTGTTCACTGTTTAGCTAGACAACAGTTAACAATGTCTGGATGCCAGATTAACAAACAGACCCCAACATGCTACGAAGTAAAAAAAAAAGTCTGCAATTCAGACTTCACAGGCAGATTTACTGCTTTGAATAATCAAAAATAAGTTCTTTTGTTTTGATGTTAAGCTCCCTCACACCAACATTACATAAATGTAAAAGCTTTATATATAAAGCTTTATCCAGCTCCAACATCAAACTTTTGAGAAATAATAGTAATAATAATGTCTTTTCTCCACAATTGTATACTTTAGCAGTTTTCAAACTATGCCAGAATTTAAAATGCAATGCTTGCATGGTTGACTTAAAAACACCTTTGTTAATTTAGGAGTTATTGTCACCTTCGGAGAAGTTTTGAACTGTGAAGACTATATTTAAAAATTATTTTCTATAACAACTATATGCCAACATAAATTGTCTCTAAGCCTGAAAAAAGTATTGGCTCAGGACATAAACTTTCAACTTTTGTTTGAAATTTTTCCACTGGAGGAGTAACCCCCTACATGACAGATTAATTCAGTTTTCACAGATACCTTTAGAAATAACTCATGGGCAGCCAGAGCTCTGCAGCCCATGGACTAGAAACAATAGCCTTGGGAAGAGCCATTAGCTTGTGAACTGAAAAAGACCCTGTTGACTTCTTTTAATGCATATAACGAAGATGTTTTTTCCCCTGCTCTATCAGCTCTTAAAACCCAGGAGTGTTTCAGTTCCTTTCATGGGGAGCTCCGACACGGTTCTTTGTTAGAGGCACTTCCCATACCTACGCACAGGCACCTACCAAAGCTCCCAGCACTCTGAAGCAGAGCAATGCCAGAAGCAGAGATGTGCACCTTAACCAAGGAATAACTGAGAAATAATGAAGTGCACCAGGCAGCTCTCTTTAGCCCAAGTGACCAGCATTTGTGAGGAAATTATTTAACTGACCACCTCACATATAGCTATGCAAATAAAGTAGCCACCGAGCAAATCAGATTCAATGCAGTTAACAGCAATTAATTTGCATGTGGAAAATATCTGTACAAGTAAGCATTGGTAACTGTGGGTATCTTATTTAATAGGCTGAGAGAATTCTTTTCCAGGATGAGAAAGTTAAAGCCCTGGCGCTCTGCAACTAATAGAAGCACGTGGCAAAATAACAGCGGTGGTCTTAGGTGAAGTGTGGCAATTTCAAAGTACTGGGAAAAACCTTAAGAACTAGATTCACTGCTTCTGCAAATCCATGTACTTCACTGGAGCTGCAACAGCAGCCAGTGTAACCCTAAGTCACTAAAACTTTTTGATCTTTCATTGAGATACATTCTAAAATGTAAAACTACAATACTTCATTTATGCAAAGAGGATTCACTTAAATAGAAATCATTTATGGTTGGACTGGAGGAATTTTTTTAATGTAGTATCTCATATAAAACACATCGAAAGACAAACCTTCGTGTTTTAAATCTTTAGTGTCATATGAACATAGGACTGGGTCACCAAGTGCAGACACATCATGATCCCTCCACCACCCTGCTCCTCCAACTGGCCTGCGGCTCAGCACCTCACTGCTGCTGTGATTAGAAATCTGCTAATTTCCAATCTACTTTTACTAAAAGCCAGTTGAAACCAATCAATGCTTGTGTCAACACTGTCTTTTAGTATTAAAGAGAAACTCCTCCTCTCAGCTGTTTCACCTCCTCTGCCTACACAGTGCTGTAGCACGTCGCAGTTGTCACGCCAGCGGTATGAACCTGCCATGGTATGGTCTTCTCCTCCTTTAGGCCAGGCTCCTTCTTGAACATCTCAGTCACTCTTGTATGTGCTTATTTGAATTTCAATTATTTTTCTTTATCTAACAGGACCTGAATCATACATGGAGGTCTCACCAAGGCTATGTAGAAGAGCGCTGATATTCTCCTGCCTCTTTGGACCTGTGCACCGCTGGGCATGTTTTGTCACCTCTCTGCTCCCGCCTTGCTTTGTGGTGCGAAAGTCTCACTGACTGAGACTTGATTCTTCCACTGGAAATTATTAGTGGACACTGCAGAATCATAGTGCGTATCCTAGCACATCCTCTGCGTTATCTCTAAACTCCTATGCAAAATGTCTGGGTTGAAATTTCTTCATGAGTAATATTCAGTGTCGAGACTCATGAAGTCACACCCGGCGACCTACTTCTTCTAATGCTCTCCAACTTGTGCCGTGACAACATCACGCCGCCGCTGAAGTCTCTGGAGAGCTAAACCAGAGGGGGAAAAACGGTGTATGACACTTCGGGACCTGTCATCATTTAAAAACACACTGCGCTTCTTCATGGGCATTAAGCAAATGATGGTGAAAAACCCTCTGTATGCCAGAGTACCTTCCCACTGAGCGACTGCCGTCCCACGCCCTGGGTACATTGCTACCCTTCTCATGCTGCTCGTCCCAGCCAGAGACGCCGGGCAGGCAGTGCCGAGGTGGCGGGTGACAGCAGCCCTGGCCAGCAGACACACGTCTCCCCTCTGTGGGCAGCAAAGCCACTGGCATGCCCTTTGGTAGCTATGCTGTCACGGCCGTACGGCTGTGAGGAAATTACAGTGGGGGTGGAAGCCAGCCAGTGAGATTTTGTGGTAAAATAAAGTAAACTTTCCAGTGAGGTATGTATTTTCTACGTCCCTTGGCTTCCTGCTGTGGGAGCCATGCCGCATGAGAAAAACCCTGCTTTTTGGCAGACGGTGTTCATGGTTTCTCAGTGGAAAACACAAGGCCCGAAGCAGTTAAGTCCCAAACTCGTTGTGAGGGGAGGCGAGAGGAAGCAAGGCTGAATGAGGTGCAGGAATGGGGAAAGAGGAAGACGAGGGTATGAGCTGCCGGAGAGGGGTGGACAGCAATGAGATTCCCAACAACATGACAGCTCAAATGATTTTTCAACAATAACCTGCCATCTAGCAGCCAAATCACCCCTTTCAAATTTCCTGTCTGGAAGAGCAGAAGAATATCAAGGTCCTGATAATGCCCTAAATGAGGCTACGGTAACTAAGCATTTGGGTACGACTCCCTCGGCGGTGGCGAGAAAGGCGAGCTGAAGCATCTTAAAGCTTTGCTGCCGCAACCGTCAGGCATTACCGCTGGTGAGGAAGGGTGGCGTGAACATGTCCATCCTTCAGCGAATCGCCACCCACCCAAACGCAAATACCACATCCAGAGCCGTGCCGGGGTAGGCACCGACACCCATGCCGCGCTCCCCTTGGCCACCTTAGCGGACCGCGGAGGTCTTCCTCACCGCACGGGATGGAAGGGGCTCGTGTTTACAGCGGGGGCATGGCAACATACTGTACCTCTTCCGGCAGGCTGACCACCAGGTCATTTTCCGTCTGCCCTACCAAGGCCTGCAAGAAGTACTCGCTGCAGGCAGCCAGCACAGCCCGGTGGGCGCGGAACTCCTTCCCCTCCACGATCAGCGTCACGTCACAGAGAATGTCCTGCTTCCGCTGGTCATTTAAGCAGAGGAGAATATTGGTACAGTGCACCGTTGACTCATACACATACATGGGGGAGTCAGTCTTCTCATCCACAGACATGCCGTTCACACCCTGCAGGGGAGAAGGGAGGAAGAAAACACAAACAAGGCAGTGAGGAGCAATGCAGCCGCTGGGTGAACGTGGCGCGGCGGGATGCTGCCTGATTTCTGGATACCCCAGGACCACGGCCAAGCAGCCCATTAATTCTTAAATCCAATCAAGTTGCTCGGGAAAGGTATGGGGAAGGGCATTTGTTGCCACCGGCTTTCACTCCGCCACACTTCGATTACCTAACCCTCCCTTGACTTCCCCCCTCAAAACCAAAGTAGAGTTTAGATGGACTGCAAAGTGCTTTCCTTCAACCACCTACTACGCATCTACGATTTTCGATCTAGTAGAGACATGGGGACACGGGAAATTTTAGAAGATTTTAGCAAAAAAAGCAAGAGTGACTGTCGGGTCTTCTAATAGTGAAAAAAGGGCTTTGTGCTTGCTTCTGTTATTTTCAGATTAAGGGAAAAAACCCTCAAAACCCCAGCCTATTCTCCAGCAGACTGGCAGTGCCGCATGTTTACACTGATGACCTCTGCTAAAGTGAAAGGCAACGTGGAACTGCACCCGACAAAGACAAGCGACTAACTACAAGTGACCTCATCTCTCAATCAGAATTAGAGCTATTTTAAGCCTTAAGGGGGAGAGAAAGATGTTTAGTGGCTTAGAAGAAATCCACTTCCAGTTATGGCTAAAGCAATGCACCTTCAACGGTAGTTTAATGTCATTTACAGAAAAGAGCAGTTTCTGAATTCCAGACCCACAGACCCAAGAAAATCCCCCAACCCGTGTGGAGGTCCAGCCCCAGGTGGCAGGGCAGCACATAGGTGCTGGGGCCACTCCTGCCTGCAGATAAGTCTCCCCCTCCTGACAGCAGAGCAGAGGTTGGAAGGACGTAAGATACCTGTTACAACTGTCTGAGCTAGGAAGTTCCCTGCCTGCTGTTCCGCAGTTTCTGCAATCAGCATTGCCTTTGAACACGGGAATCAGACTCGCAGTGGTGATGGTGGTGGTGGGCTTCCCCCAACACCCAAAACTGCATGACGCCCCTTTGCACCTGGGCACATTGAACTAATTCTTCTGTTACCCAAAACTTTCTGCCCAGCACCAGACTGAATCCTCTTTGCATTATTTTCCCATTTCAATTTCTCTCAGTAGAAAAATGTAAAAGCCTGTGCTGTGTCTAAACACACTATGTATCCCAAAACAAACCGAACACACTTCTTTTAAGGCTTACATGGGAAAAAGGATTATTTGTATGTATTCTATCTGCTGCCAAAAGGAAAGTCGTGCAAACACACAAACTTCAAGTATTTTAAGGAATTATTTTTCCAAACAACAACCGCCTTCTGAGAGAGAAGATTCGGAGGCATACAGGGCTAAGGGCAACAGATGGGGGTGTTTTGGTATAATACTGCTGCACTGCAAATATCTGACCACTGCAGAAGTGGAAGCAAAATTCCTTCTCTGCTACTTTTTAACATCGTTCTTTGCAGCATTTTCCTTTGCTAGTACAATGTACAGGTACACATGTAGACACAACATGACTTCAAACTATTTCACTTGCCATGTGTTCAAACTAGGGTACCATTTTCCTACATTGTCATTCGAAAGATACTAATAATCTATACAAAAATGGACTTAAGAGGACCTGCTTGTTACTTGTAAAAGTAAGTACTTGTAAGTATTTACTAGACTTCTCAAAAATAACTCCATCTTCCCACCTTTACAGGAGTATTTTTAAACTAGTGGCTATGATGACTCTTTCTACAAAATAGGTGTTTTTGCCAACGTTACAAAACTATAATATTACTGGAATTCGTAATGGGATGCTTACAGTTTCTCTTTTACTGGTATTTTCAGTATTTACTGCTGACTCATGCTACGCTTCTGAGTACCCAGCTGAAATGCCTACTGAACAGAAAAAAACCAACCAACCAACCCAGTATCCATTAGCCCTTCACTGACTTCATATCTAGAGAGAAGATACAAACCTGCTTATTGATCTGCACACAGGTAAGGGAGGGAAACACAGTGGGTTTTTTTATGCTACCAGTTGGATCTCTTAATCAGGGGAAAATTCACTCTTTTTTTTCTCATAGATTGAGACTAATGAGAAGAATTGGCAGCAATCATTTTATTAGCACTACAGTAAGGTAAAAGAGAAAATGATACTTAGCTCATCCCACTCATAGCTTTCTGTGTAACTGAACTCTGATGCTAATGATAGTGTTATAATGATGTTCTAAGTGGTCACTCTTGCGTGCTATGAAATGCAAGAGTTTACAAGAACAATCTAGTGGGAAAACCTGAGAGTTGCAAATGACAATGCAAAGGGGAAAGCATTCTTTTTTTTTTCTTTTTTCCAGGCACGTCTTATGCCTGTAATGTCTCAGATGATGAAAAAATGTACAGGAAACCTGAAACCTGGCAGGTAATGAACAGAACATTAATTATATTTTCAGTGCCTTTTTTAAAAAAAACAAAAAACACTGTTTGCCTGAAATTGCAATCCTTTTTTACAGTAATAGTGCAATTTGTATGAATCAAACCCTGAATTACTTGGTTACTAATTAGTAATTTCCCACTTTTTAACTACAGCTCTCATCAAATGTATTTTTTAAAAAAATTCATTGCATGCCCTGTGAAGTGCTGAAAATACCACGGTGTATTTCCCCGCTGGTGAGCGAGCCTGCCTTCTATGCTAGGAAACCTGACCAATGTGGTACTGAGATGCTGGGGCTGTAAATCACACCCTTTGCTCCAGCGGATCCCTAGCTGTGCTCCTGGGAAGGACCTCCACCCAGCTGCTTATATTGCCATGCTTTCCAAAGGCTCCGGCAGTCTTTAGCTACCGTTGTGACTCCAGGGGTTTCCCGAAAGCGGATCCACGCCGTGCCCCTTGCCGCAGCCGCTGAGAGCCTGCGTGGATGCCCTGGCCGGCAGCTGCAATCTCGGCCCAACACAGACTTCCCCTGGCTGTGCCCCCAGTTGCTCCAGGAAGCACCCCGAGCCCTGCATTGTGCACAGAGAAGCCCGAGCTGGGCTATGGCTCAGGACCACCTATTTATCAGCTTTTAATGTTTCAACACAAGTGATTTACGGTCTTCCCTTTTCCATGATCTGCCATCGACTGAATGACCTCCAGGCATGAGGTGTTTCCTCTCCAAGAGGGCTTTATCCTGCAGGACAGGAGCAAGATGGTGAAACCCTGCACTGGGAAATATATTGTTCATTTTCATGGGGAAGGGATTTAGAGTGCAAAGAGAAAAGGTCACTGTAGGGCTTTGGCATGTAGTAGCAAGAAAATTAGCAGAATTCAACATTTTTTTTTCCTCTCCTCGGAAGAGTAAAGCAGGGATCGGGTATTAACTCTGAATTCTGAGGCAGGCCGGGCTGGAAGTCTTTTATATAGTGTTAATTCAAACTGCATAATTTTTTGCTGAATTCAGTATTATGCTGAGTTTGCAGAACCTTCTTCATGGAAATCATTGTTACACACTTAGTATTTTTTCAAACCGAAGAGAGAATGTCTTAGCAAGCCTTTCTTCGGCTCAAAAGAACATGCTGTGCATTTGTTTGCATATAGGTCACCATACTGCCAGAAAAAGCCTCTTTGAAACAAAAGTTTCCAGAAACTGGCACAAACTATTGTGGGCAAGGAAAGCACCATTGAAACCTTGCCAAAAAAAGTTGCTGTTAAAGGCCAGCAACTGCAGTGAGGCGAACTGGAACGTTGCTTACATGGTCCTTCCACAGCGACGGGTGGGAGATCCCACCGAGCCCTTCTGCATGGGCAGCATGGAGGAGGCACGCGAAACCTCAGGAGACCAAAAAAACTGCTCATGGAACATCCAAATCACTTCGGTTTGCAGCACGTCCTCTCTACTGGCTGGCACTCACCCAAAACTCTCCAGGAACTCATGAACACACTGCCTGAGCTGCTACCAAAAATACATTACCTATCACGAAAAACCAGCTCCTGCCTCACAAGACTAGAGGGCAGGCAATGCGGTGTCTGTTTTTAAAGGGAAACATTAGGGGAGAGAAAATCTTATCAAGACAGACCAGAAAGTCCTGCATCAGAACTGGGTTAATTACATGAAAAGGTAAATCTCTTTTGTGGCAGAGCTACAGAGCACTTAACCAGGCAAATTATCATCGTGACAAAGCAGCATGGCTTCTGCAAGGGGAAGTCATGTCTCTGATGGGCTCTATTAGAATTCCCAAAGTGTGTCAAATTAGCAGCGAGGAACACTGGTACATGTAATTAGTGTTGACTTTCAGAAATCCTTTGACAAAACCTTTACAAAAGGCTGCTAGAGAAGCTCAGTTGTCATAAGGTGAGAAGTTGCATCAGACTGGAAATCACTTAGGCTAAACTGTATTCAACAGAGAAGGGACTCAGCAGGTTAACAGTGAAATTCCTCCAGAAATGATACAGCAGCAGTACCAGTGGCTCGCATCTGCCTATGCAATGTCATGCAACACGCCTGAGTTTGCCTGACCTCTGAAGCTAAAGCAGGGTTGGGCACACTTAGTACTAGGGTGGGAGACTGCCTGAGCGTACCGGGGTCCTAACAGTGGCCTGCCACTACCTACAGCAAGGTCATCAAGAAGATGGCACCAGACAATGGGAGCAATTTGAAACAACAGAGGTTTAGACTGAATATAAGGGAAAACTGCGGAACAGGTTGCCCGGAGAGGTTGTGTCATCTCCATCCTTGGAGATTTTCAAGACCAGACCGGATATAGCGCTGAGCAACCTGCTCTGATCTCAGAGCTGACCTGCTTTGAGCAGAAGGTTGTGCTAGGAACCTTCTGAGGTCCTTTTCAACATGAGTTATCTGATGATCCTATATTGATTAGTGACCACAGACCATGACAGGGAGACCGAAACTGATAAAATTCGTTCAAATATCAAAGGTAATAGGGATTGTTGGGGATTTCAAAAAGACTTAATATAAAAAAGAATTAGACACTAACAAGGTGACACACTAAATCCACGGCACTCCATTATA